TCTCCTGCCGACTACGGTCTCCGGCCGACTACGGTCTCCTGCCGACTACAGTCTCCGGCCGACTACGGTCTCCTGCCGACTATGGTCTCCTGTCGACTACGGTCCTTCAGGCCAAACAAACCTGTATATGTAACTCTTACCATGTAGTGCAATCTATATGATGTACATTTGCTACATCAATCCAAGGCCTTCTCCTAAGGAAGGGCCTCATTTGTAATCGACTACAAATACTAGTGGATTCATTCAAACTGGGCCAGGCCCCGTGGTTTTTCCCCCTTTTTTCAGGAGTTTTCCACGTAAAAACTCTGGTGTCACTTATGAATGCTACATCCTCTCACTTATCTGATTGTGTGCTGGATCTTCGTACAACGCTAAGACGTTAAACTATATATTTCTCTACCGCCGCGAATATTCCAGGACGCAACAATGTTGAATCGATAACCTAAAATTGACCTATTATCATTCAGGTTAAGAGGGTCATAGTTGGGTTAAATAGGCATGTTGATCTAAAAAATTACACGATCCATATGATAATGAATCAAACAGGTTGGATTCAAACCAAACATTTTGACGAGTATGATAAACGGGTTAGGTTCAAGTCAACCATATTCAACTCAAATTAACTGGATCAAACCAAACCTTAACCCATCAACCTGAATTAATCTCTCTAATCTACTACCTAAAACTGACACCAATAATCTGAAAGAAACTAAATAAACCACATTAAAATAGAGTCATCATCCAATAAAATGCACTAAAAGAAATTCTTTTTAGCAAATAGGTAAATGAGTATCTAGAAAATCGGGTCAAAATTAAATCAGTCTAGCTCATGTGAAGTCATCTTAGTATACTTAGGCTTCGTTTGGGACGGCTTTTTTACTGCTTTCTAAAACGGAGTTTTAGTACAAAATTTTTTATTTTTGTACTAAAACTGCATTTTAGAAAGCAATAAAAAAGCCGTCCCAAACGAAGCCTTAGTCTCATCATAAAAAGAACTCACTAATCTATAAATGAATTTGCCCCAAACAAACAATTATGATCTATGAACTCATCTCAAGCAGACGAGTGCGGCCTATCATATCCGCCTTAGCAACTATTCAAGTGAACAACTTCCTTTATATGGGAAACTAAGATCAACTATTCGTCCGTATATATACACCAAGCCATCGACTTCTTATTAGCTCGGCGGAAGATCTTCACAAGTCAGATATTCTAATCGTGTTATACGATACCTATGTTTTCCACTTACTTTTTTTGTATATACATATATGTAGTCAATTATGTATTGTATATGCTTCAATTCAAATCAATAAATAAGGGGTCAAGAGATAGGCTTCTGCATTGATGTATTCCATGCTTTATTTTGAGGCACTAGTACTCAAGGTCTCTAGGTCTCCTCTTACCAATCAAACTTTCATCTCTGAACAAAAGACTAGATTCACAAGAAAGCAAGGTAGTCAAGAAATAATGAACCAGACTTTCATATATCAACATACTTTTCGATTATTCAAATGTGAGACTAATGCTTCGTTTGAGACGGTTTTATTACTGTTTTTTAAAGCAGCTTTATAATATAAAAATATTAATTTTTATACTAAAAAGCTGCTTTAGGAAACAGCGAGAAAGCCGTCCCAAATGAAGCCTCGTTTTAGACGGCTTTCTTTCTGAATTTTTGTACTAAAAAGCTACTTTAAGAAGCAGAAAAAAAGCTATCCCAAACGAAACCTAAATCTAATACTCTCTCGTGTCTTAATATTCACCCTCATAAAAGAGTTCTCTATATTTGCCATTAGACCCTCATAAATATAAGCTTCTCAATATCATCTAAGTATCATGTAACAAGAGATGACCGAATGAAGCCATCAAGAGAATGAGCCATTTCAAAAATCACTAACATTGAATAAGGAACAAAGACCCATAAGAGCCATAACCTCAATCACAATCAAACTACCTGCTCTCATACCACTTGTTAAGAGTGTGAACCAAAGAGTAATCAAATTTGAACTAAAATACATCAATGATCAAAATTAAATTTCAACCTAAAAATTTATTGTTACAAGTGATGACCAACCACTCTGCATTCCAACTATATAATAGATTTTTTAACTATCTGATGCCACTCATCCACCTGAGTATCTTCATCTCTACAACACTTAACTTACTATTATGCTCTATTTTAATGCCCAACATTCTTCACCATAAAGTATTGATGTATTAGATTTGACTTACGTTAAGAAGGGTCGAGATAGACCTAAAAATACTTGGTTAAAAAATATTATAAATAACATTTCTTTATTAGATTTAAAAAAGAATTTAATTTTAACATGGCACAATGAAGAAAAAAAGAATCATGTTGCCGACCCCACATAGTGGAACTTTTATTACGTCCTCTGACCGGACGTAGCTCTACGTTCGGTCCGAGGATTGCTACTTGGTTTTTGCTCGGTATTTGGTCGGTATTGCTAGGTATTGTTTGGTAATAACTAGGAATACCGCTCTGTGAAGACCAATACCGAGCAATCCCAAAAAATACCGAGTTTTTCTAGAAAAAACTCGGTATTTTTTGAGATTACTCGGTATTGCTTGGTATTGCTCGGTATTACTTGATATTTTGTCTTCACATAATGGTGTTTCTCGTTATTGTTGGTATTGCTCGGTATTTCTGATTTTGTGCCTGCGATCTTAGTGCCGGCCGAACGTAGCTCTACGTACGTTCACCGGACCAAATAAAAGTTCCACATAGTGGGATAAAGGCTTGATGTTGTTGTTGTAGTAGTATCTTATGTGAGACTAATTTGAAACTTTCAAATGCCTTAACAATTTGCATTGCACCAGGATTTTGAGGGGAAAAGATAGAAAACAATATATTTTCATCCCAAGAAAGAACCTGCCATTTCGTGAATGAAAGCAAGTTCTGAAACAACACTTCCTCATGTCTCTGGTTAGTTTTCCTACATAAAACCTATGGCTTTCTCAGCAGCACAGTCAATCCACCTCAGAACAGAAATCCCGGAATATCCAAGCTCATTAATACATGAGGTAAACCTGACATATAAACTCAAATAAACACTTGTGCATAAATGTGTATAAGGAAAATGTATGCATTGTTAGAGAAACGCATTTCAGATATGCACGCATAACAAAAAAAAATATTGGACTAACATTATTGGGACTTAGGCTTGGTTTGGGACGGTTTTCTTACTTCTTTCTGAAGTAACTTTTTAGTACAAAATTTATTAGTTCAAGAAATTTTTGTACTAAAAAACTGCTTTAAAAAGAAGTAAGAAAGTCGTCTCAAACAAAACAATAATCATCAATAGCCTTATTCCAAATATCTGGGGTTGGCTTTATGAATACTTATTATGCACTCATTCTTCTTAAGACATGAGATGTTAATTTTGGACAAAAAGAAAAAAATCTATAAAATGGATCTTGTCAACTCTAATCCTAAACTACTGTAAGAAAAGTAAAATCATGCGATTGAATTTTTTTCACCCCGATAGCGTCAATAAAGATATCAGATGTACCCAAAACATAAGCATATTTGAAGTTTCTTCAATATTCAGCAGTTGTAATGATCAAGTCCCTAAAATTTGTTGAATACAATTATCAATAAACTAACCAAATCTGTAGATCATACACATTATAGAAAACCAGTCAAACTTTACAAGCCATCTGAACCTAGATGTTTAACAAACAAATGGCATAGCCAGATCTTGCAGCTTTCATAGACGTCACTAAGGCTTCGTTTGGGACGGCTTTCTTCATGCTTCATAAAACTATTTTTTAGTGCAAAAATTAAAATTTTATACTAAAAAGCCGCTTTAAGAAGCAGTAAGAAAGCCGTCCCAAACAAAACCTAAGTATATAATGTGTTGTTGTTATAAGTAGACATGTACTTTATCTTAATGCTAGTGTGAATGGGATCACAAGGCTATTCACCATCTCCATGACAACACAACTATAGCAAACAGGCTAATCGACGAACCTGCCACAATGCCAAACGGTTCATTGGTAATACTAAGGCTTCGTTTAGGGCAACTTTTTTGCTGTTTTTTGAAGCGACTTTTTAGTGTAAAATTATAATTTTTTACTAGAAATTGCTTCAAGTAGCAATTAAAAAGCCGTCCCAAACGAAGCCTAAAGTTCAAAATTTATAATTACCTAGCCTCACTCTCAAAGGTATAATTCAAAGAAAAAAAAAGAAGCAAATAAGCACATTTTGGTAGCTTTGGTTGGCATACAAAAGAGGCTTCACAATTGACAGAATGTGTGACTGATAAACGAAAAAGATATGACTATCATCATATTTATAAGACAACAATTTTGAATTCAAACTGAAGTGAAAGAACAAAGTGCAACATACCAAATTTCTATTAAGTACCACAACTTTGTCGGTTTGGTTAATCATAAATCATAGAATCAGTTAGTCAACATCAGATTCCTCATCATCACCTTCTTCCTCCTCTTCCTCCGTTTCTTCTTCTGCTATTTCTTCTTCCTCTTCTACATCATCATCACCAACAATGAAACCTCCCAGGGTTTCATCATCCTCATTACCAACTTCTTTCTGTCCACCATTAAATCCTTTAATTACAAGCTTCTTATGGCCCGGAATATTAACAAGTTGTTTCTTTGAGTCTTTTGATCTGGTAGAGTATCTTGGCCGCTTAGCACTTCCAGGATTTGCAGCCAAAGTATTCACATCCTGATTCTCTCCATCCCAGTCTTCATCATCATTATCACCTCCTTTCTTCTTTTTCTGATGCTTGCCCGTCATGGCTCCAAAAGCGTCATCTTCTTCATCATATTCATTACTCACACCTCGAGGGTCTTCAAGAAACCAATTCCAATCCTTAAAAGGGCGGATTTTGTGCCTGGGATAGCGATCAAACTCATGACCGTTCACCAAGAATCCAAACTCTGCACCCGAAGGACATTAGAAGCCTGTTTTATTCAATGTAATCTAAGCACAACGATGTCCATAAAAAATAGAGCATTTAGTTCAACATCATATTATTTGAACAATCGAAAATGATTATAGTTTATCCTTTTCTGTAATTAGTTTTAAATCTAATGCAGCCAAATATATATAGAAATCCGTAGTAGAAAATGCCTCGAACAGAATCAAAGAATCAATTCAGAAATTACTCTCACCTTTCACCGGATCAATCTCTGAAACATCCAACGAACCAATCCCTAGACCCGAACCTTCCCAAGCCGCCACCTCAGTTTCTCCGCCAACCTCCACCAAGTTCGCCCTTTCCTCCGCTTCCTTCCGCCGCTGCCGCGTCCTTCTCTCACGCCTCGCCAAGGCTTCCAATACGCTGCTCTCCACCTCACCCTTCCTTCCTTCCCTCCTCTTAACAAAGAGGAAATTAGGGTTTCTTATTGATAAAGAAATGCGGTCGCCAGCTTTTAGCACTCCTTTCTCCGACTTCCTATAAATTCTCTTTCCTTCTCCGTCTTTACCACAAACCAAGACGGGATTTTTACCAACAACTTCAAATGACAGTAGAAGTTCCTCAGCTTGATCACTGGCGTCGACCTTGTCGTCCCTGTTATCTAGAAACTGAAGGGAAACATGGTGGCGGGAGATGAAGCGGTCGGACGAAGATGACCCAAACACTAGCCCTAGATCTCTCCCGATAAGTGTCGGTGATCCAGCTTCTATAGGAATTGAATTGCCATCTTCTTGTTCAAGCTCCATGTTGACCTAGGGAAGAGCAGGTGCTATCCTCTGCTTACAGTTCGAAGGGTACATCATTCCTAAGAAAACCCAAAATTTTCAATTTATCGTAGATTGAAAGAGTTTTTTTTTTTTTTATAAATGGGATTTAAGTGAATGTTATAATTTATATCATGCTATTTATATATATAATATTTAAATTTTTAATATTTCATACTTATTATCAATATATAACTTTAATATCAAATATGTCACTCATATGTTTCATTCCTACGATCCTATAAACTTTAATATTTCACCATTTCTTTTTAAAGTTTTTATCCAACTATGGTAATCAATTATATGAATACTTTTTATTTATTGTATTTTATTAAGAGTCAAATTCTATTTTAAATATAATTGAGTCTGATTAGTATAAATAATATGTATTTTATGTGTTATATTTTAGTTATGATGTGCAAGAAAAATAAAAAAATGCAAAAAAAAATCTAATTATCATTCAGCGTCGTGGCGTCGAACAAATCAACGTTGTCGTGCCTTCAAAAACACTGCTGAAGTGCTACTAAAAGACATTGCGATGCCGACTTCTCGATTGGGTAGTGTCGCGACGTCAAAATATCAACTTCGCAACGCCAAGCTTACTTTCTTCAAGCGCTGCAACATCACAATCTATAATGCCTTGGCGCCAAAATTGCTCTTCTCGTGCCGCAGTATTCGAAAGTCGGCAACGTCGTGGCGTAGCAGTTAGTTAATTTGTTAGGCGCAACAGCACCAACCTTTTAAGCGACGTAGCACCATTTGTCTACTTTGTGTTTTCTTAAAAACAATCATTATATTATGTTTGCAAGAGATTCAGTCACTTAGATAATTTCAATGCAATTCAGAATGCTTCTCAGGGTGACAACTAAGAGGATTTAGGAAAATACTTGATACCATCATTAGAGTATTTAACTTGTGTTGTGGAAGTAATTCTATAAGTAAAAAGGAGTATAAAAGAGATTCATTGAACCATTCTGATAATATATATATTGATGCGGACTAGAATATACGCGGCGGTAGAGTAAAAGTATAGCGTCTTAACAATATACGTATATCCAGCACACAAACAGATAATTAAGTTAGAGAAACACCAGAAACTTTTTTACGTGGAAAACCCGAAAAGGGAAAAACCACGGGGCCTGGCCCAGATAAGAAATTTCCACTATATCTGGATTGGTTACAACGTTTGATTCGCTCTCGTTTTGGGGTGAGAGAGGGCGAAAGGAAAAATTAAAAGTCGTGCTTGTAGTGCCTCCCCCCGCCCATACTTGTCTGGCTAAATTATCTAAGTTTAAATTGATGATGTAAATATCATATATAGTACTTATAAACTCTTTTATTCCTTAAATGATTAAAATGATATTTTCAATATTGCTAGATCTTAATTTAATGCAAATAATAACCATATAGGTAGTTAAAAATAGTTGTAATGTGTATTCTCGATGGAGAGAAGTAGGCATAATCAGGAATATTGAATTAGTATGTGTCATACTTAGGCATAAGATATGAAATACAAAAATTTCTTAAGGAGGTGATACAATTGTAGGAAGTTAGTGGACATCATTTATTTCTACAAGCTCGATAGAAATCTAGAGATGTATATGCTATGAATAACATCACAATTAAAAGAGATTCATTAGGAAAAATATTTTATTTATTTTAATTAATCTGAAATATTATATTCATATAATGTATTCATTATTTTTATCAAATTTTATTTAAGTGATATTGAATCTCCATAATATCCATTTTATTGAGTAGGATATTGTTGTAATTTTAGTATATAGTACTAGTATTTGCAAGTGAGCATATCTTCCTCGTGAGATCAATACTCTACTTTATCACTATATTACTTGATTTGACATGTATACTTGTGTATATTAAGTGGGGTTTTTATATAAAAAAAAATTTAAGCATTATTAAGGATTTATAAAGCCTTAAATTATTTCACAATTTTATAGGTTACTCTACAGCTCCCACCAGTCTACCTCTATCTTTCTTAACATAGACCAGATCTAATACATTTACTATCTTAATCAGGTAATCAGAATGCAATTATTTTAACATTACTATTAACAGGTCCAAATCCCTTGATAAAAGTTAAAGGTTGTGTTAAATAGACGACATCGAGCATAAAATTTATCGAATAATCATGACATAAATTCTTTAATAAATAATGTTAAATTGATTAATGTATCTTTTATTTAATTTTATGTATCTCATAATATTCATTTTTTTATAAATATAATTGAGATATTCCATATTATAACTAATTTATTAGATAAATAATTTAATTTTATTATATTTTAATTATTTAATAATTAATTTATCATTAATAATTTAATAATTTTCATTTTTTAATTTAATTATATTATCTAATGATAAAATTGTATTAAATAATAAATCCTAAAAGATAAAATTACAAAAATATATGATAAAATTTTATATCATAATACAAAATATTTCCATATAATTTTAAAGAATTTTTTTTACTAAATTTTGTGATTAAAAATTTTGTTGTGTATAATTTTATTTTCTTAGTATTTTAAAAAATAAAGATGTGCTTAGATTGTCAAAGAAAAAAGCTCATAATAATAAAAATAGTTAGTGTTGGAATGAAAAAGTGAAAAAAGGATTAAAAAAATACAAAGATTTATTATAAAATTAGTTTAAATGTATAAATTCTAATAATTGGTAAACATATAAAGAGGGTCGTAAGAAGTCTAAGAAAGTAATATGTGATATAAAAATCTTAGCTTTTAATAATTTATATAATAGATTAGATACAAATGAGGGTGAAATATATATGTATAACTTAGTTAAACAGAGATATAGAAGTAATACAGATTTAATTCAAGTGAAGTGAATTAAAGATGAAGATCAAAAAAACTTTTATTAGAAGAGTATATTTAACAAAAGTGGATGAGATATTTTGCTAAACGAAAATATTTTTATTATTATTATTTTTTTGACATATTAGTAAAATCGAAGTTGGAGAGGTTTTAAAGAAAATAAAGTGTGAAAAAGATGTTGGACCTGATGATACTATTTTGTAGAAGAAAAAGATGACAAATGAGTGGAGTTTGTTGATTCATATTTTTTAAGAGTAAAGGTGATGCACAAGATTGTGCTAATTATAGAAGAATTAAGTTAATGTGTTATAATTTAAAACTATGGTAGAGGGTTCTGAAGTATATGTTGTGGGATGATACTAATGTTTCTGAAAATCAATTTGGATTCATGCTAGGTAGGTATACTATGGAAGCTATACATTTATTGAGAGGTTTGATGGAGAAGTATAGATAAAATAAGAAAGATCTACATATGATATTTATTGATTTGGAGATAGAATATGATAAAGTATCAAGAGAAGTGCTATGGAGAGTTATAGAAATGAAAGGGGTTAATAATGCTTATATTCAAGTCATTAAGGATAGGTATGCATGTGTTGTTATTTGTATTCAAACACAAGGAGGTTAGATCAAGTATTTACCTTTTGCAGCTGGATTACATTAAAGATCAATTAACCTTAAGCCCATATCTTCTTGCATTAGTTATGGATGTTCTCACTAGACATTTGCAAGAGGTTGCTACATAATGTATGCTTTTTACTGATGATAGTTTTCTTGTTGATAAGACTAGAGAGGGATTTGAAGGTAGACTTGATACTCTCTCTCTCTCTCTCTCTCTCTCTCTCTCTCTCTCTCTCACACACACACACACACACACACACAACTTACATATTCCTAGGGGGTGTTAAAATGGGTTAATAGATCATATTTGAGTCCCACCCAAAATTAACTCAACTTGAATCAAGTCAACTTGAATCTAACCAATTTAATAATAAAGGGAAAAAAAGTGGACCTGAACCCAACCCACTATGATCAAACTAGCTCGGATAACTCATTTTAATTAAAAAATATTTGTATTAACTTATTAACCATTGATTTTAGATTAATTGATAAAAAAATAAGAAGGTTACACCAAAAAATAAAATAATTTAAGAAAAAAATATTAAACAAGTCAAAATCGAATTAACAGGTCAACTTGAATCCAAATTTTTTAGGCCGGTTTCACATCAGATTGGCGAGTATGATCATTTATTAACACCCATACATACTCCTTTAATTTGATTCACCCTTCTCTAAATATGGTCCAATCTAGGTTCATTTCAAAGCATTCAAAGATTCATTTAATCTTCTTCTCTTCATCTTTAGCTACATTTTCCCTAGAATGTCAATTAGGATTCAATTAATTTTCACTAGATAAATTTAAGGTAAATCTTAATAATATCATTGAGACAATGATGCAATGTCAAGTTTTAATAAGATTTGTTTTAATAATTACTTTTTTCTTTAATTTACTTTGTTACATATATAATACAAATTTTGAAGAGAAAAAATAGTGTAAACATATTATAATTATATGAAAGTCATTATATTTACTTTAAAATTGTTATTAAATTGATTTTTTCTACTAATCTTAAACTAAATTCAATAATATTTAAGACCATTAAATGAAATTGTAGAACCTCACAAGCAATTTTTATCCATTTTGGATTTCTCGCATTTGATCTTCAATCCTTCGTTTTTCCCGCCCAGCTTCCTTCTGCTAAAGAATCTCTCCATATATAAAGAAATCACAATCACCCATTCTCCTCCTTCATTTTGCCCATGGCCGACCAATCTTCCTCCCGCGCCACCACCAGCGGCAGGAAAGACAAGTCTTCACCGGCCAAATGTCCTTCTCATCGCCGTTTCTGGATTAACCAGCCGGTTGTTCAACGCTCCGGTGGTACCAACTTGAAAGACAGCCACATCAAATCACCCGAATCCCTATCAAGATTCTTGAAATTTTCGGAACACCGACTCCCCAACCAATTCGAATGGGTTTCCATCGACGTCAACATCGACAGAAGCTATCATGACTTCATCACCCGCTATTACTTCGACGGAGGCGAAGAAGACACCCGCGTTCTGAACTTCCCCTACTCCCCCGTTTTCCTCCGCTGGTTCCTCCGCGCTCCCGGTTTTATCAGATCCCTCCACGTCGGCATCCGCGAGAAGAGAACCAAGAAACTGGCCGGATTCATCGCCGGCACGCCTGCTACAATCCGAATCAAAACAGAGATCCACCGGGTCGCAGTTGCTAACCTCCTCTGCCTCCACAAGGCCCATCGATCTAAGCTGCTAGCGTGCGTTCTGATCAACGAGCTCGCTCGCCGAGCCACAGTTAATGAGATTTGGCAAGGGGTTTACGCCACCGAAGCCCGCGTTGCCTCCCCCTTATGTTCCTGCGAATGGCTTCAACGCCTTTTCAACCCTGCGAAGCTCCGCAAGCTCGGCTATGTCGCTAACAAGAATAAAACGGAAAAAACGAAGCAATGTCGAGATTCAAAATCTTCCGCCGGAGCCGGAGACGATCGGGTTTCGTAAGATGAAGCGACAGGACATCGCTGCCGTGGTTGATTTGCTGAAAGATTATCTCAAGACATTTACGGTGGCCCCGGTGGTGGACGTGCATTTCGTTGAACACTTTCTTCTGCCGAAGCAAGGCCTGGTTGACAGCTACGTCGTGCAGGACCCGGAGACGCAGAAGATCACTGACTTCTGCAGCTTCGTGATCCAGAAGAAGGAGATTACGAAGAAAAGAAAGCGGTGGGAGGTGAAATGTGCGGTTCTGTTCTACTATGCGGCGTCGAAGACCAATCTCTTGAATCTGATCAGAGATTTGGTGACCATGGCTTGCAGAAAAGACTGATATATTCAGAGCGCAGGGAATTATGGGGAATGATCTTTTTTCTTGATAAGCTAAAGTTCGAGACTGTGCCTTATAAGAAAGTACTCCATTACTATCTTTACAACTACGGCCTCATGAACGTGTTGAGGCCCAAAGAGCTCGGCCTCGTTCTCCTATGATCTGCGTATGTTTTGATCGGCCGAAGCTTTGATTGTAGATCGCTTTTTGTTTGCATTTTTCTTGATTTCTTAGAACTTGTTCGGTGTTTGATTGCGTTTACGCTCTGTTTGCACAGCTTTTTATTTATTTTTTTCATTTTTCCTTTTTATTAACAGGCAAATTTAAAGAGAGGTGTCAAAATAGGTTTTCAAGTCGGGCTCAAGTCCAGAACGGGTATAATTCCTATATCCGAACCAGACCCGGCACGCCGGCCCGCAAGGAAGCAAGGCGAGCACTGATGTAGGCGCGAGCGCTTACGGGCGAAGGGGGCGAGAGCGTAGGGGTGCGGGTGTTGGGGTGCTTGCAGGCGAGCACAGGAGTGGTAGAGGCCGCTGGGCAGGTGCAGGCATGATCGCATAAGCATTGTGGGCACGAGCACGAGAGTCTGGGGTTGCTATGTGCGAGGGATACGATCATTTCAAATAGATTTATGGATTTCTGGCTCAACTCAAATTCGACCCAATTTTAATAATGGGCCAGGAAATCAAACATGAACCCAACCTGTCTAGCAAACAGGTTTACGTGAACCAATAATTTTTCGGATCGAGTCAAATATTAACACCCCTAAATTTCAATTTGTCATTTTTTGTTATTTTTTAAAATTTTATATTACGAAAAAATATTTTTTTGATCAAAATTGTTAGAATGTTTAACTTTTAACAAATTATAATCTAATTTTAAAAAACATGTAATAAATAAATGCAAGAAAGTGAAGTAAAATTTGAATTAATGACAATTATCTCCAGACTGAAATTTTTGAAAAAAAATTTATAGTGTGTTACGGGGGTTCTAATTGGACAATCCAAATGAATAAAAATTTGAATCAGAATGTTCTAATTGAAATTTAATTATAATATTTTTTTAATTTTAAATTCTTTTTTAAATAACTATAACAGATGAATACTTAGTCAATTTTAATTATACATTTATTTTAAAATAAACTTAAAAAATTTAAAGAACATGATACTCTCATAAGCTAGGGGTGTTTGATGACTGGGTGTCATTTGGGAACTACTGGTGACCTATGCTAAGTCTCGAATATAATATAAGGGAATGCGAGTGAACTGATGCTTTGGAGAAGAGAGCTTGATAGTCAGCTGGTTATGGTAGGGCAAACTGAGGGCTCTATTGGTAGGCGCTTTCTGTACTTGACATTCAATGTGCTCGAGACAAAAGTAGTTGTCCTTAGGTAGGGCTGAGTCACTTTGACAGTTGCATTCTTTTCACGAAGTACATGAAGAATTGCCTGGTTGACGAAGCCCCCTATTGCCCCCAAGTGTGATAACCTTCCTTCGTAGGCCCAATTGCAAGTCTGGCTTACACTCCTTGTGTGAGTTCTTTTGTGCGGCCTATTGGATGTGAGTCATCTCCTTGTTTCCACCGACTAACAACAAAATACCTGTGAAGACATACGAGAATATACAATATATAAATTAACAAACTAGTGTAAGTTCAAAAAATCCTTCAAATATACATCATATGAAGCATAAAAAAAAATTCTTTAATTAACTTAATTAATCAATTATTTTTTAATAAATCAGTTGCTTCATATTGATTTAATATTCCATTAGATAAAATTTGGGGAACGAAATCATGAACTGACTATGAAACCTATAGCATAGTGTTTAAGTAGATACTTCCATATGTCACAACTACACACCATTTTGCAATTTGCTTCAAAGAGCTAATATAAACACACTAACAAAAGATTGAAATGCTACCATGCATCAATCAAACAATAGAAAAAGTGGTTTAGGCTTCATTTGGGATGACTTTTTTTACTGTTCTTAATGCAGCTTTTTAGTACAAAAATGTACTAAAAAGCTGCTTTAAGAAGCAGTAAGAAAGCTGTCCCAAACAAAGCATTTATCCAAGTCTGTATTAGCCTAGATCAAGACTTGAAATGCAATTAAATATTTCAAGGTATCACTTAAAGGACCAAATGATCTCCAAATTTAGCATGCTTTTAATTACATTGAGGGTTTCAATGAGATGAATCCAATGAGTCCAAGATCGCTTCATTCTGATATTGTTAAGGCTTCGTTTTGGACTACTTTTTTACCGCTTCTTGATACATCAAAAAAGTCGTCTCAAATGAAGCCTAAATTACTTAAATGTTAAAGAAATAGTATCTAATCAAGGTAATAAATACTGGACACCTGATAAAGTGTTTTGAGTTTTCGTTATATTTATGGGGCATGCTACTCTTAAAAATTTATAAAGTCCCCCATTCTATCCCAATTGCAAAGTAGAAACATGCATTTCACAATAACAACTCAAGACAACCTATAAAATACATGGCATGCAATTTATCTCGATTACCCATTACATTGATTATGAGAATAGTTGAAATATGAAAGACCAATGACATAAAATGCCATAAGAGTCTTCTATAATACTTGCATGAACATTTGATAAATTGAAAATAAGTCATTGGATTCAAGAAATATAAAATATAATTTAACTATATTATTTATATACTTTTTTAGTACAACTAAATTACACATATTCACCAAATAATAATAATAATAATAATAATAAAATAGATTTTGAAATCCCAATAAACAAGGATGTAAATTTAAGAGCTCAAAGTAGGATAATTTTCTCTAGACAAATGAACAAACATCATTATCATAATAATCTCCAAATCTAAATATTTGCACAAGCACACTATTTCAAGCACATAAATAAATATATAAGTAAATGCCAAAAAATAATCTATAACTATAGAGCTCGCTATGATATTTAGGTGATCCAACCAATATCATTATCTCTGTTCAACCTCTCTAACACATGTATAATAATTTTACCATCTAAATTTTGGCTTTCTTTGGAACAGTTTTCTTACTGCTTTAAGAAGCAATTTTTTAGTGCAAATTTTTTTAATTCAATAAAATTGCTTTAAACCCAAACGAAGCATTTATTAAAGGAGCAATTCAAACTAGCACTCGCTCATCCCCGCATGCTTTCAAGCACTACCCAAGGGCCAATTCTCAAAGGCTTAGGTAGTTCCTCTCTACAATACAAAGAAAAAATCTTCTAACTAAACTTCTCTTGAACTTTAGGGATGACTACAAAAAAAATTACATCATAAATAACAACATATAATCTACAAATTAAAAAAAAAATTAAAATAAGCACCTAAATACAAAGAGGTCCTAACAATCTTAATAGAATGAGCACATAAATATTTTTAAGAGATTTTTATCAATATTAATGATAAATACTTTGTATATTTATAAATTAATTTCATGAATTATATGAATATTAATAAATATGCTTTTAATAATATATAAAATTCACCCATCGAGGTTTAGGTTGGTTGGTGGGCGAGCACGTTTGGGAACCCTACATCTTGAGTTCGAATCTCCTCTACTACGCCCTCGCCTCTTCAGTGGGGCAAATCAAGTGTGGGCCGATGCTAGTGGACGACCTAGTTAGGTTCCACCGAGGGATTAGTTACTCTGTCAAACGGTCCCTTCAGAGTGACAGCAGGTAAATACCCCATTCCAAAAAATATAAAAATAATAATTTTTTAAAAAATTTTAAATGTTTATATTAAAATTGAAAAAAATATATCTTTTTGTTCACCTCAAGATATATAAATTGTACTAGTACACTTATTTTGAAGTCTATGATGCATTTCCCGCGCTCAATTTATAAGCATTTATCCCGACTCAAAAAAGGGCAAAAACCCTCCCATTTTCTCTAATCTGGACACGAATCCCTAAAATCACTCTCCTTGATCTCCCTCGATGGCCACCGACGAAGACTCCTCCGCCTCATCAGCCGCTGCCGGCGGCAGCCCTGGAGGGAAAATCGCTGAAATCACCCGCCTCATTCCTCTACTAACCGCTCTCAACAAACACCCATTCTGGGAAACCCAACCAGTACCGCAATTCACCGAAGCCGGCGATCTTACGTTGCCTGACGGCCCGATCTTACCACAAATACCCTCATCGGATGTCAAGCAAGATCCCTACAATCTTCCGGCCCAATTCGAATGGACGGACATCGACATCGACGATGATTCCACCTTCTCCGATCTCCACCGATTCGTTTCAAATAACTACGCCGACAACGAGGCTCCTCTTCCCTTCGCTTACTCCCCTGGTTTCCTCCGCTGGCTTCTCCGCGATCCCAACCAAATCAAATCGCTCCATGTCGGCGTTTCAGTCAAGAACACCAAGAAACTCATCGGATTCATCGCCGCCACGCCGGCGATGCTCCGCGTCCAAACCGAAACCTTCCGCGTCGCCGTCGCAAACGTCCTCTGTGTCCACAAGAAGCTCCGTTCCAAACGGCTTGTTCCTGTTCTTGTCCGCGAGCTCGCACGCCGAGCTCAGTTAGAAGGCATTTGGCAAGGAGTTTTTGCCACCGAAAGACACCTCCCGACACCAATCTGCGCCAGCAGGTAAGATTTTCAAGAAAATTTTCCTTTAAAAAAAAAAATTCAAGAAAAATGATCGAATTTGATTGTAGTGGATTGAATGAATTTTGTATAAAATTCTCTTAAAAAATAAAAACAGATAAATTCATGACTCATTCACACACTTAGGTTGCTTTATCGATTCCTAAATCCCAATAAAATGAAGCGGTGCGGCCACGTAGTAAAGACCGGCCCGGTGGATGAGATCAGCATTCGCCGGCTAAACAAATGGTACAAAGCTGCCAAGACGGTGGAGACGAGAGGGTTCAGAAAGATGGACTCCGGCGACGTCACGGAGGTGTCGGAGATGCTAAAGCTCTACCTGAAAAAGTTCGAGGTGGCGTTGGAAGTCGACGAGCATTTCGTCGAACACTTTCTTCTGCCCAAGCCGGGCATAGTCGACTGCTACGTCGTGGAGGATTCCGAGACCAATAAGCTCACCGATTTCTGCAGCTTCTTAATCCACAGCGTGGAGGTTGAGAATGATCCCAAGTACTCGGAGCTCAAGTGCGTCGTTCTGTTCTACTATGCGACCTACGAGACGGCTCATTTGAAGCTGATGAAGGATGTGTTGGTGACGGCGAAGGAAGATGGAGCTGATCTATTCATGGCGTACGATATTATGGGAAATTTATCTTTTCTTGATGGGCTTCTGTTCAGGCCTAAGATTGACGACGACTTGAAGGAGATTTATTATTATTTCTACAACTATCGAATGAAGGAAGTGCTGGAGACACGGGAGGTTGCTCTCATAATCTGATTAGGCCATGCAAGCAAATTTTTTTTTTTTTTTCTTGTTAAGCAATTGAAATTCATCTTTTATGAAAGTTGATATTTTGATTCTTTAGAGCATGATCTAGTTGAAATTATTTCACTTGCATATCGTCCAACTAGAAACTAGAGCTGTATGCATTATATGGACAGAAAGTAATCGACCGAGATCATTCAATACAACACTATGAACATGATACCAAGGCAAACGAGAGTGATTTGACCTTGCTATGAAAGTGAAAGGTAAGAGAAAGGCGGGTGGTGCCTTGGGGCATACATTTCAAGTGATGTTATTCCCCGTAAATGACTATGGAGGTTATCCAATTATGAAATTCAAAGAAGCCTTAAGACATTGGAGTTGTTTTCGAGAGATTATTTGTGATTTATTAGGTAGTTTTTCTTTGAGGAGAGAGAAGCATACACTAAGAAGTTTAGTATAATGTTAATGTTTATAGTGAGAATCATAGTTGGTGTTAATAACATGCATTGACCTCATTAACAATGACATTGCATTGGTTTTGTTAGCGACAACATGTAATAGAATCAGCGGGTGTTAGCCTTGTTGTCGACAACTTATATCAACTTCATAAGTGATGTCAAATGTCAACAACATTGCCCTTATCAGTAATGGCATGTGTCAAGGTATGCATTAGCTTTATAAGCGATGGCACGTGTCAATGTTGTCCACCAACCTATGTGTGAACATTGTCACTACCCAATGTACGTCTAGTAATATAAAAAAGTGTGCATAAATCACTAAAATGTGCATTTAACATCAGAATAGAACTTTCTCTATCCACTCTTGAACTTAAAATCACACAGTTCAATCAGATAAACACATAATTCATTGCAATATAGTAATATGAACATAAATAAGCTCATTTTAGAAATTAGCGAATTTCCTTAACCATAAGCAGTAGAATAAGTCGTACTCTTTTTCCTATCCATATAGTAAAAACCCCTTATAACACTCAATTAGTATCACATGAATCAGTCGAGGATAATACTAAATTATATATTTAAAGAAAAGTCCGTCGATTCATCATCTTACACAGTTTAGTCTCTAATCAATGTCAGTGAAACCAGCCTTTTACTTATTTTTCACACATTAATATTAAGTTTTCTAAACAATAATAGTGACCAGCTATTACTCAACCATATGTCTATATTCATTTGCAATACTTGTATTAATAATATGCTTAAATACAAATACTTACTTGCATTTAGAGATAATCATAAAAAAATTGATAACTTGTATTTTATCCAATGAAATTCAGAATGTTGCAATGAAAATCTTCAAAATAATCAGTATGATATCATATCAAAAGTTACATAGTAGATGTTCAATTAAAAAAAAGTTATGGGAAGAATCTAATGGTTGAAATCAAAATCTTTTAAAAAGGTAGGATCAGAGTCACCAACCACAATCTGAGCATGTTCCACAAAAAGGTGAAGCAATTTGGCTGTAAAATCATATTTTTGCTTGTTTTTTCTCTCTCCTCTTTTCTTCCTTTTCTCCTCTTCCTTCTTCGGTAAGGCACATCATTGAAATTTACATTTTTTGTTAAAAAAACTATTTCAGAAATTAGGGCTATCACAGGTTAAAGGATTCTAGTTAGTAAATAATGATCAAAGAATCATAATCATTTGATTATGGTCAAATGAACATAATTAGGAAACAATGATCAGAAGATCGTAGTCAGGAAACCCTGGTTGGAGCACCATAGTCTAGCAAATGCGGTCGAATTATCAAAGTTTGGTGAATGTGATTAGAGGATCGTAGTCGGACGATAATTATATGAGAATCATAGTAGGGCAATAGTGGCTAGGAGACTTTAATCAGTTAGATGGTGGATTCATCTAATAAAAAAACTTGATTTGCTTCTAATTGCACAAAGTTTGGATATGGTTTGATGCTTTAATTAACATGTTGAAGTTTTATGTTTCGCTACAAGCGGTAGATCTAAACTCATTTAGATTCAGATCAAACAACTTTTGATGCCATTGAGTTTGTATCATTGAGACATTTGGTTCATTATAAATTTCTTAAAATTAGAATTCAAATGATCATGAATTTAATTCCAAAAGTTTTCAATTAAAATATATTTCAAGATTCGTGTCTGATCAAATCAAATTTTGGTAACATATCAACAAACTTTTCAACTATATTTCAAGTATTTGATTCAAACTTATTTCGAATCAGAATTGATCACTTTTGACATTATTTGTTTTATCTCATCGTGATGACTAGTTTGATTATAGTTCAAATTATCCTTAGCATAATTTAAAAAAAAAATAAATCAAATACACCATCAAGATTCGTATTTGATGAAGTGAATTTTTTGATGCATCATAAAATATAAACTATATTTTGAAGTTAAGAACATATTATTTTCATTATTTTAAAATTATAAGAATTAAAATTTTTGAATAATTCATATAACTAAAATTTCAGCCATGCCTATAAACCCCCGGGATAAAGAATGTGATAAAGAATGTGGAAAGAGGAAAAAATAAACAAAACGATTAATATAGAAGCGGTAGGAATATCAGGGTTTAAATGTAAACAATAATTTTCAATTATAATTTCATTAAATTATGCCATAATTTTATAATTTCGATTATATTAATATACTTTATAAATTATTATATTTATTTTAAATTAAGATTGTATATAAATATATATATATTTTACACAACTCTTAAAGTAAATTCAATGCCTTCACCAAAAAGAAGAAGACAAATGAAAATATTTTCACCAAAATTGAACCCTACAAATCTAGAATAATTAATATTCTGAATTTCTTTATCATTTATTTTGGTAACTATTTTAAAATATTTAATATTTTGATATTTTGTTAAATATCTTACAATAAATATCTCCATTATTATTGAATTTATCTCTTATATTAAGATCACATAATTTTGTCTTTCGTATCATTTGAATATCATGGCATCATGCTACACATTTGGACTACTCTTATAAGAAATCAAGCTAATAATTCAAATTTTGGAATCTTCTATCTCAAGTTGGAACAATTATTAGGTCAGGTGACCTGATGTAGCTCTACGTTCGGACGCCAATAACATGTCGCCACGTGCTATTACTTTTTACTGCGCGGCCCGACGACTTGACTCGGACCGAATCCGGGATTACTATGTTCGCGTATTGCTCAGTATTTGCTCGGTATTAATAATGAAAAATATCGCTCTGTGAAGACCAATACCGAGCAATACCGAATAATACCGAGCAATACCGAGCAATACCGGTATTGCTCAGTATTGGTCTTCACAGAATAGTATTTCTCGCTATTGCCGAGCAAAACCGAGCAATACCTAGCAATACGCGAACATAGCAATCTCGGCTCCGTTCCGGGTCAGGGTTGTCGGGCCGCGCGGTAAATAGTGAGAACACGTGGCACTATTTTATTCGCGTCCGAACGTAGAGCTACATCAGGTGTCTGGACCAAATAAAAGTTCCTCAAGTTGGGAGTCAACAAACATTTTGATGGTCAATTTTTATAAATTATTTTAACTACGTCAAATTTCATGATTTTTTTTTCTAAAATTTTTATATAGAAATAACAAGTCTCTTATAATCTCTTTTTATTTATATGTTTGCAAACACTATTAAAGCTAATATAAAAAAATTTACACTCTAGTGCCATAAATTTTCTGCTATTATATATAAATATCATTTAGGTTTTGTTAGAGATAGATTTTTTTTTTTTATTGTTTTCTAAAACAACTTTCAATATTGTTGTGGGCTAGAATATACACCATGATAAAGTTATGATCGTACGTCTTAGTGTTGCATGAATATCTAGCTCATACATAAAGAACACAAGATTTTTATGTGGAAAATCCTGGAAAGGGGAAAAACCACAGGGCCTGGCCCAGCTGAAAATGATTATGCTAGAATTTAAGTAGATATGTTACAGTGGGCTGACTCGCTACCGAGGGTGATTATATTACAAATATCAACCGTATGGTTGAAGTCAGGGGCAAAATGAAAGTCCAACGTCACTTGATGGTCTAGTGGAACTTGAGGGTCACCTGGCGATCTGACAGAATTCCGGCATCACATGGAAGTTTGAGTATCATTTAGTAGAACCTTGGTGTCTTTAGCTAGCTCGAAAGAACTCCGGACGTTAGGTGGTAGTCTAGCAAAACTCTAAGCATCAAGCAGTGGTCCAGCAGAGCTTAGGACGTCGAGTGGTAGTCCGGTAAAGCTCAGTGCTTCAAACGGTGGTACGATGGAGCTTAGGACGTCAATTGGTGTTCTTGAGGAGCTTAGGGCGTCAAGCAGGGGTCCAGTGGAACTTAGGACGTCAATTGGTGTTCTTTAGGGGTCCCTTTTCAAGAGGAAAGGGGGCTCTATTTATAGATTTCTTAGAGTGGCATTTCCTGTAAATAGGTGGAAGATCACCGACAAATGGGGAGTGGTTTGGATGGACGCCCGATGTTGAATCCCTTTGTTATGGACTGCTTGATGGACATTTGAATGTCTTAGTGATGTCAGAATTCAGTGAACTTAGGCTCGTTGGATTTGTCTCATCGAGCCTCATGTTTCGACTATAAGCATGTCATGTTTGGAAATTGTTTGGTAATCCAAATTGTAGTTTGAGCCTTCCAATAACGCTTCTTACCCTTGATTTGGACCCATTTGGGCTCAAATTGTGTTTAATTTGGTGTAGTTGGGTTCGTATTTTTGAGAGGTTCAGTTCAACTTTAAATTTGTTGAAATCAGAGTTCGTATGGTCCCAATTTTAATTTCAAAAGTTTCCAACTTGATTTTTCATTGAGATTTATGTCCGATCAAGATAATTTTTTGATGATGTATCAAGTATAATATTTTTTTTGAATTAAAATTTTTTAAAAAAAAAAAAACTTAAAAAACAGTAAAAAAATAATTCCAAACAAAGCCTTAAACCAAGTTTATCATAATAAAATATGCGAAACAAATTAAGAGTATGCCTGAAATAGCTTTCTGCATGCTTTATTTTTTAGACAACAAGTATAGTTTTATTTAGTTACTATTTTTTATTACTTTCTTTCTGTCTTTTAGAAATTTATGTTGTGAAAAAAATATAATTTTCGCAAACATAATGACGAAGTTGATTTCTCCATAATAACTTCACAACCAACTTTATAAATTACTACAACCGTCCAAAATAGACTCTAAGGCTTCGTTTGAGATTATTTTTTTACTGCTTTCTAAAATAACTTTCTAGTACAAAAATGTCTTGAATTAGAAATTTTTATACTAAAAAGTTGATTTAGAAAGCATTAAAGCCGACCCAAATGAAGCCTAAGTCAGAGTGTTCGAATCATATTTTTGATCAAAAAAAGCTTTAACACTTTCGAATCTATTTTAAGGGAAGTGTAATATAAATTTTATATATATTACGCTTCCTCATAATTATTTTATATGCACAAATTTTCTTAAAAAAAAAACTAACATGACTTTATAAAAAAAAAGTCAGTCTGAATTTTAAAATTATTTAATTTATTTTAAAATGGGTATAATATAAATTATTTATGTAATCGTTTATTTAACGGATCAAAGATTTACATAATAATTTTTTTTTTTCAAATTTCTCCCTCTAATTATTTTTGAAAGCTGGCCCCAACCTCCTGCAACCTAGGCACGAGCCGCCCGCTCAGATGCATCGCCATAAGCCGCTCAATCCCCCCGACCACCTCGCCGCCGATGAACAACACCGGACTCCCAACCGCCGGCGCTGTCGCCGACTGCATATACCCGCCGGAGGAGCTCGCCTCCGTCTCCTCCAACTCAATCACCGCCGCTTTCACGCCGACCGTTGAAAGCAATGTTTTCATCGCATGACACATACAGCACGATCTCAGGCTAACGACCACGACCGGATTCTCTGTTATCATCCTCTCCCTCATCTTCTCCGGCGAATCGCCGTCGTCTATCGTCAGCGCCACCGCCATCCGCCTTAGTTTCCCTCGATCGATCTCACTTCCCGAGTTCGAGCGATTCAATTACGAAGGAAATGGGTTCAATATATGATGGAAGCGCCTTTGTGAACCACGTCATCAATGACGAAGGTATGATAGCTTACAAAAATGATATTATTGGATAATATATTTGAGAAAAAAAATCTTCCCCGGCGAATCGCCGTCGTCTATCGTCAGCGCCACCGCCATCCGCCTTAGTTTCCCTCGATCGATCTCACTTCCCGAGTTCGAGCGATTCAATTACGAAGGAAATGGGTTCAATATATGATGGAAGCGCCTTTGTGAACCACGTCATCAATGACGAAGGTATGATAGCTTACAAAAATGATATTATTGGATAATATATTTGAGAAAAAAAATAAATTAAAATATTTTAATATAAATTATATGAGAATATATTTAAAATTTATTATAATTATTTTCAAAGTAATGTTATATATGAATAATTTATATTGCATTAATATTAAAGTAAATTTAAAAATTTTTAAATCAATTTTGATATAATTTATATTATAATCTTATAATATGAATATTTTTATATATTTCTCCTTCTAGCCGAAATTACATATATTTCAATGCTAAATAAATTTATAGAATTTGGATTTTATTATTTAAAATTTTCTCTTGCAGAAATTTCAATAAGTAGAATAAATTTTTTAAAATTAATTTTATTTGAGATAAATTTAATATTATTTGTTATATTTATTTTAAACTAAATTTGATAATTTTGAGATTTATTTTGATAAAAATTCGTCAATCTGATTATTTTTCAATTTAAATAAAAGAAGTTCTTATAAGTTTTGTGCTTCACAATTTTGGCCAAAAAATTTTGTGAGATTGAAAAAGCAGGCCGAATATATGTGCCGAACTAGAAATCTTATAAGGAATTGTTATTTAAGGTTTTCTTTGTTATAAATTTTTTATTACTTTTTAAAGTAGCTTTTTAGCAAAAAAATTTATTAAAAGTAAAAAAATAATGACAAAAAATGCTCGAAATGAAACCTAAAAATCAATCATTGTCATTCACAAACTTCGACTACCTAATTGGATATTTTCTTTATAATATCTTGCTATAATATATATGAGAATGAGATTTAAAATTATAGGATTTATTTAAAAATTAATATATAGTATGTATAAATTGTATTACACTAATCTCAAAGCAAAATCAATAATTTTAAAGCTAATCATAATATAATTTATATCCATAATATATTTTTTTCTACCTAAATTTGGTGATTTTAACTTTTTTCCTAAAATTTTCAAATTTTCCTTGTACATGAAGGAAAATGACCCACATTAGTAGGAGTATGTGATGCCCTTTTGTTAACTTATTTTTAGTGAAAGTTCTTAATTTGAAATAAACAAAAAAGATCTCTAGTTAACATTAATTTATTTAAATTTAAATTTTTAAATTTTAAAGCACAAATACTATAAATATAAAAGCGTTGTTATATCCATCCAATAATGATTATGAACCATCACTTATTAGAATTAGTCCTTGGTAACAACACAACATAAAAGGTTGAAAGAGGAAGCTTGAAATCTGTCCTCAATCTTTCTAATCTAATAAAGAAAATTATTTTGGTTAAAAAAAAAAAAAAAGATGCTACAAAGTGGGTAAAGAGAGAAATCTAGATCAATGATAGACCAGTATAGATAGGCGTATTAACAAAGAACTCTAGGATCCAGAATGTCTATTAGAGGTTCTATGAGAGAATCAAATGAAAAAAAAAATGTGAGTGGGAGTCATAGGCAGCTCACATTGTTAATAATGATACCACTAATCTAGCCAAGAATACAAATTAAGTCAGCAGGAAGTGAGAGATGCACCTACGAGGTCCATAGGTATAATTCTTTATTATGTATATTATTACTTATGATCGACATGCATTGCATTTTATGCCATATGACTAACTAATTGACTTGCATACATATTTGAATGAATAAATATATGATTTTATTGGTGATTGATGTGATCAATAAGAAGTAATTTTATTCTGTCTTGTAGTGGTCTGTAGTGAGAAATATTAAGTACAATTTATTTATAAGGTGGATAGAATGTAATAACCTCAAATTAAAATTTTAAAAAAATTTCTAAGGGTGTGTTGCGGTGCTGTGGCTGTGGGGCACTGCGAGACTAAGCTCTCAGGTTTTTTGAAATTTGAGTGAGTATTGTGGTGTTAGGGTCTTGAGTGGCGTGGTGCCAGGTCTTCAAATTTTTTTTTTTAATATTTAAATCTACTTTGCTAATTAAATAACCTATGCCATCCCAAGCCCCTCCCATTTTATTGCTTGGTAGGGAAGCATAAAGGGGAGAGAGAGGAGGGAGAAAGCTCGCTTTGATACTTTTTTATCTATTTCTCTAGTTACAAAAAGTATTCTGATCATGATTAGTAACCTTATTGATACTACTATTTTCAAGGATTTTGAGTTTTTTTTTAACTTCTCCCTTTTTAAATTAATAAAAATACAATATCTATCATTTTAGTGAGCTTACACCATCTAATTTTTTATATATGATATATATCATCACTCTCAAACTTTTTACTGATTTATATTAAGATTTTTTTAGTTAATTTTGCATATATATTATTTCATTTAACATGGGTATAAGTATATTAGGTATAAAATGATTAGGAGTTAATACACTATATTTGAAAATAAAATATATGATATACATTAATTTATAATTTATATAGTCTAGCATGCATTTTTTCATAATGCATGTATACTGATGAGCACATTGGATAGACTTATATATTATAATCATTTTATATGATATGCACATGATGTTGGATATTATGATTTATATAATAAAATTCATGTAAAAGTAAGAAATGATGACATGCAATGATTGACTAATTAAGATTGGCTGGAGATATATTACCTTATAGAGGAGATTGACTAATATGATATGCTAACAAGTATGAAGTGATGAATACTAACATAAAAGTCATCTAACTTATGATATGTGATATGAGATTGGTTCATGGTAATATGATTGAGACTTATTCTTATTTAGTTTGAAGGGCCTATAGGATTTGATATAAAAAAATATCACATGTAATTATATGCCATGTCTTGCTTACAAATACATATGATATGATCATACATAATAAGTTATATAAGTGACGTGATATGAATATGCTACATGACATGACTAGTATAGACATATGACAAGACTATTAAAATTGATAAGATTGATATAAGAGCATATGATACGTATGAAACACATGATATATATGATGCTTTGCATTCGATAGAATTATAATATACAAGTATTAGGAATGTATGACATGCCATAGTAACTATAAGATATTTTCTTGATGTTACATGTATATTGATATACATGAAATAGAGTATATGAATGATAGAATATATTGAGCCCTTATATAGTTATTGATCTAAAAATCTAAGTTATATTATTTGCATTTAATCTCATTGCTCATAAGAAAGTCAATGTTCATATTGATAGCCACTTAATTAATCTTATTGATGCATGTGTATACTGATCTTGATTGAATGATTATACGCATACTTCTCCTATTGCCTTACATTGATTGCAGTGGTAAGTTTTGGCTATCTACTGAAATGTCAGCTTACCCAGGAAGAGGCCAGGACTTAGTAAAGTAAGATTGAGCAGGTTTTAAGATTTTATTTTATTTTCTATATTTTGGTTCTATTCTTTTGTAACTAAGAATGTTAATGATATAATGATATTATAAATATTTTTTTGTTATTATAGATGGATTTTAAGAAATGAATATAAAATTTCAAGTTCATGAAAATGATTTATAATTCCTTATGATGGACTTATTTGTACTTGTGGATTATTAGAAGTTTTGATAAATTAATTAAGAGAAAAATATATAATTCTTTCAAATTTAGATATTATGGCAACATATTTTTAGCTATCTGACATTACTTGTTGGTGCTTTGCTCAATGATATTAACCTATGTACAAGATGTCAAATCAAATTCTTTTAAGTTTCATTATACCTTAATAAGAGGAGAAAATACCACTTATATATATAAAGGACACTATTACTATGATATTGCTCAAAGAGTAAAAGTCTAGCTAGCATATATATATATATATATATAATTGTATTTTAATTATAATAATTTTCTCCTAATGTTATGGTAGTGTAGATATAAAAATAAAAAATATTGTAATTCCTTAAAAATTTATATATGTTGACACAAGTGAGTTTTCTGGGACTTTTAGCAGTTTGTTTTGCAAATCGATTTCAACAAAATATTCCAGATGTCCTAAGCTATTTCATGAATATTTTTTATACTTTTTTGGAACCCTGTATTTAAAGATATAAAAACATTTATTAAAATTTTATGCTAAAAAATTGAATAATTGGCTTAATTAGATTCACGTCATCAAGATTTTTTTTTAAAGAAAATCCATTCCTACTTACTAGAATTATCAAATGCCATTTTCCCATTTCCCTTTTCATTTTTCTCAAACCAGAGAAGCATAAAATTACAATTAAGAAGAAAAGAAAGGATATATAAGAGATAAACCTATGCTTTGAGGGTCATAAAGCTATTTTTGCTAGTTAGTCTAGTTGGAAAATTTGTTAATCTAAAGGTAGGCTAACTTTATCATATCTCTAATTTCAATGATTATTTGTTTACGAATTTTAATTTGGTCAAAACTTACAAAAGCAATAATTACAGTGTTATAGTGTTGGGGTTAGAGGTGGGGCGTTGTGCTTTCCTCGAGTTAGTATTACAATGCATAGGATATGGCAACTTCGATATATTTTTGTCTATCAGTCTAGTTCAAGTTGCTTAAATTGAGATATGTGACTTTGCATATCAAATTTTAGAAAATATAAAAGATTTTGAGATTTTCTTAGTTAAATTTATATTTGTTTGTATTGAAAAAATGGAGATAATTTTATAACCATTAAATTTTTATCGTGTGACTTTTTGTACATTATAGAGACTACAATCCTGAATATTTAGGTATTTTCTAAAAATG